AGTGACATGACGATCCCTACTCCCAGTTTCTTCGACAAGTACTAGTTGATCTTGGGGGTGCAATGAGGAGGCTAGAATCTGTAGGTTCAGATGATCTTCAGCCATGGGTGAAAAAGGGGCAGAGAAATGGAGCAGAGGAGGCACTGAGACAAGAACTGCGGGCGAAAAATGCAGAAATTCAAGCATTGAGGGCAAGATGCAATAGTTAGGAGAGAAATGCAGTATGTAATAGTGTGTTCTGTGTCATGATCATGCTAGTGGCAAGTTTATTTGCAGGATTTATGCTACATTAGTAGCTAGACTAGAGGATGAATGTAATGGAAAATGATGTAATGGTCGGATAAGTGAATTCTATGGTACTGATTTTACTGCCTATGTGATATTTGTTCTTTCTATTCATGTGCAAGTTGACAAGCTACACAAGATATAAATTTGCATTTGAGAGCTCTGCCATGTATCACTCCTCTGTTTCTTTCCAAGATAGAGATGACAGGAGATTTAACAATACTACTGTCACTTAAAAAGCAGAGAGTTTGCAATGGCATTTCAGACCAATTTGGCACATAAAGCAGTCAAATAGCAAACAGAAAGCAGCTGGACTATTTAGATCAAAATCACAACCATCAGTTTGACATAACAGAGACATAACAATTTAAACCAGCAGTACATAACCATCAGCTCAATAGTAGTTATAACATTTGCATCATGAGATGTCTTTTAACATACTAATATGATCTAAAAAGCACTAGATCACTTCTTTGATTTATTTTTTCTTGGCTTGCACATGATCAGTTCTTTGATTTTTTCTTGGCTTGCGCATTCTGTTTTTTGGTAGCCTTCCTCTTCCCTCCACTTATTCCTGCTTGGGCTTGTTCTTTTCCTTTGCTTTGAGCCATGTGGCTTGCTCTGATCTGAGCATCAGTTTTAGCTTGCTGGTGAAAGAAATGAAAGTGCATAAGTATGTGAAGCAATGCAGGAGTAATTACTAAAATGAAAATTCATTACAAATAATGGAATGCATGCACAGGTATGTACTTCAGAGGCTTTGATTTTCCTCCCAGATTTCTTTAGGAATGCATTCTTTTTCTTCCCCTTTTCAGGATTTTTGTTGCAACCTGTCTTATTGTGTCCTTTGTGGCCACACAAGCTACAGGTAATCTGAATGCCATGCTTTGACAACTTTCTGCCTTTTGGTGCTTCTCCCTCCTCCCTCCTCCTGTCATTTTTCCTGGGTCTACCTGGCATGCTCACATAACCTGGAGCTTGTGGTCTTGGTTTCTCAGAAACAGGCCACCTTTCCTGACCTTCAACTGGCTCCAAGCAGTGCTCATATATTTTCTTGAACTGTTGAACTGAATAACACTTGTGAATGAATTCTTCTATAGTTCTACCACTCTTGTATATGGCACCGATAGCATGACAGCAAGGTAGCCCTGCCAGCTGCAAGTAACCACAAGAGCATGTCCTCTTATCCAAATTGACAGTGTAGCTCCTCCCTCTACCACTGACATGTTTTACCTCAAAGCCTTCTTTTACATTCCAGAGAACATCACAAAATTGTGTCAATTTGATATTCACCTTTAGCTTTTTGAAGATGTTTGGGCAAATTGGACTAGAATTCCACTTCTCAGATTTTGTCCTATTTTCTTGAACTCTTTGTGTAACTTTGTGCCTAACCTTTTCCAACATAGAGATGACAGGATAGAATCTGGCCTCAATGATTGCATTGTTAAAAGATTCACATAAGTTATTGTCCACCGAGTCACAAAGAGATCCAATAGGGAAAAAAGCTCTGGCCCAATGCTTAGGCTCTGTTCTCATTATATCCCTTGCTCCTTCAGGTGTGTCCTGAGCTAACTTAGCTTTTCTGTACATGAAGTCTTCTCTGTTTGCAGCCTTTGCAATTGCCCAAAACTTCTTTTGTAGAGCATGCTCTCTGTATTTCTTTCTCCAATTAGCATAGATGTGTCTAGCACACATTCTATGTTGTGCCTTTGGTAGATAATCTTGCATGCTACTGACCAAACCCTATCAAATAATTAAATGGGATAATCAGTACTAGTGGACTAGGTTATGCATCTGTCGTCGAGGCGACGAAACCTATCAAATAAAACATGCTACAAAGATGATAATTAACAACATGACCATAGTAAACTTGATAATTTATACCTTTTGTTGATCTGAAATGAACACCCAGCAATCTCCTTGATCATTTATATCCAAGTCCTTGATCAGAAGGCCAATAAACTACTCCCAGCTTTGAGTTGTTTCTTGCTCCACTATTGCCCAAGCTACTGGGTATATTTGGTTGTTAGCATCTCTTCCAATTGCACAAAGTAGTTCACCTTGACACGCCCCTTTGAAGAAACAACCATCAAGCCCAATAACCCTTCTACATGCTTTAAAACCTTTTTTCATAGCACTGAAACACACATAGAACCTTTGAAAGATGTTTTGGTCCATATATGTAGGGTCCAAACCAACAAGTATGGTACTACCAGGATTGCTCTTGAGAAGTTCTAGCTGATAGTCAAAGACCTTGGTGTGTTCCTCTTTCATCCCTTCTAATAGCTTCTCTGACAAAGACAGTTTGTCTCTCTCTATCACTGACATTGCCTCATCTCCCCCAACATAGTCCAAATTAGGACCAATACGAACAAATTGTCCACCGACATGAAACCGCACATTCAATATATCGCTTGGATCCATGAAGGCAGCACAAAAACCCCTGCATCACCACACAAATTTGGCAAAAATCAACAGCTCATACAACTCATTGGAACTAAATGCAGGAATAAATCTATGTATTCTGCAAAAACAAAAACAAAAACACAAACTGAACCCTAAACAGAGCAAATCAGTTTGAAATAAAAAAATAGCTCCTACAAGTGATCTGAACTAGATGCAAGATCAAATCCATCTTTTTCTCACAAAAAAATGCCCTAGAAACCTGAACCATTCCTACCTGAAAACCCTAAAAACAGAGCAAATCTTCAGCGTCTGATACGATTACAAGAATACAGGGAAGAGAGGGCAGGGGATTACCGGCGTTTTCCCCAGCCGCTGCGATCTTCTTGCTGTCCCCGAGATCAACCGTCGATCGCCATTGCCGCCTAGAGGAAGGGGAGGCGTTGAGGGCGAGCCAAGGGAGGGAGGGAGCAGTTTCGTGCTGAGGTTTAAGAGCGGGAGTGGATTGGGCCC